CTCGATCAACCAACAGCCCCCGACCATTCATGTTCACATGTCACCCTCCTCGCCAACACAATGTACAGCTCAACAACACATGGGAAGACACGCAATGCCCGCCACATCGCAGCATGGCCCTCTGGCCCTCCGTTGTCTCTTCCACATTCGGTGGTCAGTGCAGCAAAGCCAGGAGAAGAAAGTTCGTCTGGACAGGGGGTCATGACGGGAGATTCACCGACTGTAATCTCGGCAGCCGCGTGCATCGCTCCACCCTGCGTGTCGTGATCGACGTTGATTCTGGACCCAGCATCGCTCACGCATCGGAGACGACAAGGCCAGCAGGGCTCAGGCCACGCTCAAAAGAACGTCCCCTCTTGCACGCTGTCTGTGGGCCATGAAATGATCCCGAGGATCCAGACTGACACGCCACATCGACAACACCCGCTGGCAACGTCTAGTACCATCACAGCACAGCCACATTGCGTGAATGGCTGCCCTTAAACCGTTGCCTCATCAAACAGAGATAGAGATCGAGGTCTGATTCAAGCCAATGCCTGTCCCATGTTATGTCGGCTTTTGCAGGGCCAGAATGTGACCAGACGTCTGTCCTTCCGGAAACTCCATAAACCTGGACGAGACATGTGACACAGGTCTGCTTTCTTTCCTTGAGACCTGTTGCCCGCGTGTCTCGGCTGCTCTCAAGGCAAAATCTCCACCCTGCAGTTCGCTCCTGAGTCTCGCACAGCGACGGTGCGCGGTGCAGGACCACGAGACATCGTGTTCTCACATCGCCACCGGACCAAGGGGCTCCCGTAGCGTACTGTCGGATGGCCTCGATTCTCGACCGGCTGGTAGCTGATTCGAGGGGCGCGCGGAAGGTCAATATATGTTGCTTGCTTGTCAGGGGCTTCTGGTCTTACAGAACGCCTCGAACATAGTCGCCGTTCCGAGAGAGTCAAGGGGACAACTGAACAAGATGCTATCTTACAACCCCCTGGTCTCAGGCAAAGAGCACCTTGCAGCTTTCTGGGAGATGTAAGGGCAGTAGATACCTAAACCAGCTTGGGAATAGGGGACGGCAAACAGATGGCGATCTCAAGATCGATCGAAAATCGCCCCCTGCAAAAACTCATCCTCATCGTGCGGATTAAGGAGTCGCTCAAGTGGTTGTCGGTCTTCGTCTGAGACGGTCGAGGCCGGCCTCGTCTGGGAAGAGAGGGCAGCCAAAGGCCTCCTTCTTCGTTCTCCTTGCCTCGTCCGCCTGTGCCGCAGTCTGCGACAAGCATGGGCGGCGGAGGTCGGGAGCCGTCGATGGTTCACGACGTCCCGCGTTCCTCGTAACACCCATCTGACTGAACAAGGTGGCCGGGAAACATTGCCATGCCTATTGAACTCAATCGCTTTGCCTGTCTCACAGTATGCCTGCCGAGGACAGAATGCGCATTCCAGCCGGTTGAACAAAGCCGTCACTGGGCATCCGTCTACCTCTCTTCTTTCCACTGACGATCAGGTGTTCACTAATTGAAATTTCGCAATCAATCACGTGCCACCTCGTCAGAGGGATGCTGTTGAACGAAAACGGGGATAAAGATTATTGCATCAGGTTTGATATGCTATAGACCACCAATCGTGGTCACTTCCGTCTCGTCTTTACTGTCCTGGTATCAAAACCGAGTCCCCTACCCGGCTGCCGACATGTGGAAAAGAACGCCGTGCACACCAGAGAAACATGCCGTGCTGTCTATATAGCTTACAGGTTACCTCCGGGACAGCCGGCTCAGTGGCCTATCGCTACCGGAGCGCGACTGACCCGACGACGGCCGTACCGACCTGGCTGACCGCGATATCTTGTCCGGCACCCGCTTCTGGCGCTTCAGCAGTCCGAGCAGCGTCCTGAAGGGCAGTAAAAGAACCGACGTCAGCGCGCGAAACGGCAGCAAGCACAGGTTCCAGGCCGACTCGGTGAGCCAGCGCAGCAGGCTGGCTGGG